TTCTCAACGGATTTAAACATATCTCGAAGGTGGTTCTGAAGGAGAGTGGGGGGGGACTCGTACTCCCAGTCCCCCCCCCCCGTGGCTATGCCACTGGTCTACTCGCTGTGCTAGGTACCACCAACTATATTCCTATTATTTTCAGATCCTTACCCTATCAGTGCTGTCCATTTTGATCACGGCACCAATTGGAGCAATAGCGATGACTGTCACTGGGCAGAAACTACTGCAGAAATCAAACGTTGTCAGTGGTGACCCAGATAATGCTGATGAAAATGAAAAGATTGAACTCACTAATGATATAGGTTATGTTTAAAGGAGTCGTGCAACTTGACCCATTATGTGGCAGCATTCCCCCCATTGATGAGTAAAATAGTCTGGCATTAGATAGAATAAGATAATAAAGTAAGGTGCGCAGGGCACATGTTGTTACTGAAAGGGTTCACTCAGTGGTGGACATAAGGACATTTCAGCAGCCAAGGGGGAGACCCTCAAGTCTATGAAAGAAAGCCAGGGTTAGGATATCTAGTGAATAACTATGTAACTAATATTTGAAGTAACTGTACGAACCTGGTTTGAGTTGATGCGAAAAACATTCTGAGTTTTTTTTTTATTTCACTGTCGATAAATAGTGTTAATTCGCTGTAAAGCCAGTCTACACGATACAATTAGTATATTTCCTCCTTGGGGGGAGCGTGTCAAACTAATCGTGTCGTCTAGACAGGCCTTAATGTATTTAAATGTTACAACAAGATGTATTACTATTTAATGGTAATCAAGTGTTTGTCACAAGACTTTATTGTAATATTACAACTTTGTTTCAATAAACATTTTAGCATTTTTTAATTACATATGTTGAAAATTATATAGTTTCTATTAAAATGACAACACACACACCCTGCAGGGCCTAGAATACATGGTTATATATTTCTAAACTTCAGTTGACTTGATAGGGATGCAACTACCTGAAAAATACAAGGAGAACTTCGACGTTTCGAGAAAAGGCCCTTCGTCGGGAAGTTAACGTGGAAGATATAGTAGCCGACGAAGGCAGACTTTTAGCCAGAAGGGCGTCCTGGAATGGATGCCTTTGGACGCCCAAATTCCCAGGGGAAAAGGAAAATTATTTTCAATTATTTCCCTAAGTATATTAATATATCTGCAACGAAATAGCTTCAATTCTCATTATTATTATAGTTACATTTGATATTTTGATCAATTTGATGGTGTACCTGGCTGAACGAAAATGTCGTAGTTAAGTAAAGAAGCATAGCGGCACAAACTCGGTATTCACAAAGCCAAGTGTGTTTGAAAAATTTTGAACGGGCTTGGAACAGATACTGATATGAAGTAACGTAAACTTCAAAGGTTTTCCAGAGGAACGTTTTCTCGACCCCCCCCCCCCTCTTTACTGTAGATGTATCGTACCTAAATTGGATGCCCTCTTTCAGGACCCTGGCTAAAAGCCTGGATGAAGGGCCTTCACTCAAAACGTCAAAGTTCTCCTTGTATTTTCAGGTAGTTGCATCCCAGTATCAACCAAAGTTTTCTTATTGGCACCACCTACACTGACCCGTTTAAGAATTAGGATTATATATTTCTAAATGACACTTTACATTTTCTGTGATTATTTTGTAGCATTGGAGTTCTTTTATTTACACGAAATTACACAGTGTTATTTTCACACTGAATTGTGACTTTTGGTTCATTAATCCTTTTGTGCAGGTGGGGCATAGGGAGGGGGGCAGCCATATGCACTTTCTCCACCAAGACGTGGATCCTGGTATCCTTGGTAGGGAGGAGCAGCACCATAATATGGTGCGTAAACTGTTCCAGGGGGTTCCACCTACAGAACAAGATCAAACATTCTAATAAGCTGTCATGATCTGTGTCTGAGCTATCTGAGAAAATTTCGAGCAGACACCCTGCAATTCTTCTCCCCTGGGTGGGGACTACCTTCAATACACGATTCCAGAAAGTGTCACTTTGGCTGTAGAGCCTCATTTTCGTGATTGAGATGTGACTGATATCAGATACATGAAAACGAGATTCTATAACCAAAGTGACATACTTTCTGTTTGTTTCATTCATTTGAAGGATTTGTAAGAAATATGTTTAATATGTTTGAGGGATTACTGATTTGGAGTTTAACCCCGAGTCAGTTCCTTTAAACATTTCTTAATTGCAAATCCTTCAGAACTAACTAGAATCAGAAACATTGATAGTGTACGCGTAATAGACATTTCCCCTTTTGAGTGAAATTTTGATCTAGACAAGTCTAGACAAAAATTTCATCACAGCTTGAAAAAGCATCACAAAATTAGTAATATTCCGAAGTTTCGTTGCAAAATGTTGTAAAATACGGATAATATAGCCTTGCGAAGTTCGTTTTGTATTATACAAATGGGAAATTGATAATCAGTTTGATCATCCGATTATCAATTTCCCGTTTGTAATGCAAAATGACTGAAAAACGGCAAACTTCGCAAGGCTATATTATCCGCATTTTACAACATTTCGCAACGAAACTTCGGAATATTACTAATTTTGTGATGCTCTTTCAAGCTGTGATGAAATTTTTGTCTAGATCAAAATTTTAGTCATAAGGGGAAAGGTCTATTGAACCAGGGTTTAGGTGATCAGAACAGTGATAACAAGGCATGTGACTAATTCTCTTGCTCTCATACCTGTGCAATGTGCGCATTGTTTTGTGTGACAACAGTGCCTGGCATGTAATTTTGGCCTCTGACGACAACATAACCAGTTCTTCCTTGACGTAGTCGGCGACGACGACATATTACAGTAATCATAATTGCAAAGAAAACGATCAACAGAACCAATAGAACCCAGAACCCTAAACAACATTTCATAATATTTTGGTTTTTGTTTACATATGCTTTTAATTTGCAAGATAGACATTATGATGAGATAGAAACTATGAACTTTGTATTCTTTGCTTTGTAAATGACAATGTTATCAACCTAAACTATATAAACTGAACTCAATTGGTACAGTGCATAATATATACTACACAGATACTAAACTGTTCTTCCTAGAGGTCCAGTAAGGATCATCTCTTATTGATCCAATGTTACTACAGGAGGAAACCTAAATTAACCTAACTTTATTTATACTGGATAGCTCTATCAGTTCTAAACTGTTCTCCCTAGAGGTCCAGTAAGGATCATCTCTTATTGATCCAGTGTTACTATGGTATAGGAGGAAACCTGAACTAAACTAACTTTATTTATACTGGATAAGCTCTATCATGCAGTTCTAAACCATTCTAACTAAGCTCCTAGAGGTCCAAAATAAGTCTATCGAACCTAACCTAATTTTATTTATGCTAGCTGTTCTAACTGTTCTTCCTAGAGGTACAGTAAATTAAAGTAATCTTATTGGTCCAGTGTTACAGAGGTGGGCCTGCAGTGATTCAATGGTAAAGTGAAACTGGAAGAACTCTTCTCACTATTATTTCTGATGTGAAATAACAATCAGATCTATGAGATATTGGAGGAATTGAACCTCAGTCATAGAGATGAAAGACAGATCTGCACTAATGTTACTCTGTGTCACCAACAGGGTGTTAACCAGGCGGCCTTGATGATTCTCGCATGAAGTATCAAGGAGAATAATTTGAAACCGCCATTTTAAAAAACAGCAATCGCTTTATCGCTCGAGCGTCACACTGGTTTATAGTTACAGTTACAGTAAAGATGACTATAAAATGAGCCAAACGCATAAAAAAAGGGAAAAAATATCGGCAATTGATAAGGCGTAAAAAAAAATACCTGTGGTTCCAGTTCCCGACCGACCCTACTTTATTTCTGCTGACCCTATTATTTGTTCAACGCAATTGACTGTGCAACCCTATTTTCTCCAGGTGGTTGCGGGCCGCTCATACAGCGTGCCAAAATGGCGTCTTTGTCACACTAATTATTGAACCAAATTGCCTAAATTCGTCCATAGGAAATACGCATCTCTAGTTAATATTGATGTCGGGATTCTACTGCAAATCGCCCAATAAAAAACCACCAAACCATGAAAAAAATATTTTAAAAATAATTTATTTCCAACCTACTGACCCTAATTTTTTCACGATATGAAACCGGAACCACAGGTTTTTTACGCCTAACAAAATAACTACACTGCTGTATTGTGTTCTTCATTATAGCATATACTATAGCCTACATCGTAGTGATCATATGGTTCATATCATATGTGTGCTTTTACTAATTTAATAAATGAAATGTGCATCTAAAACTAAAAGTAAAAAGGTTCAACGAATAGAACACCACAATTCCACAACAACAAAAAATTGCGGCCATGCCCAAAAACATGTGACCACGCCCACAAAATTATTTTGGACAGCCACTTTTGAAATCCTGGCTAACACCCTATAGGTACCAAACCTATATAACTTGAGTCACTTACACCACAGAGCTGCAACATTGGTGTAATAGCAACACTGATCATCGCTATAACCACAGCAATACGATTCTTGATAATTGTCTGGGTAGCAATACTCCCCAAAACCAGTATAAGAGCTATAACAGTAACGACTTGCTTCCTACATTAGAATATCATGGTTAGATACAAGACTTTTCACAATATCCTTTATTTAACCCATTAAGGGGAAATGTGGCAAGCAATTAAATTACGAAGTGACTAGATGACCGGCAGCCGGCTATCTAGTAAACTGCCGGCTATATAGTGACTATAATTAACCCATTAAGCGCCAGCGCTCTCCCCTTGACAAGTAAAATCGTCTGGCGTTAGACAGAGTAAAATACTAAAGTAGGGTGCATCAGGGTGCATTGCGACTCAAT